AGACTGGAGTGAATAATGTTGTTAGCCAATGGACTAAATGTAACCCATTTGTTAGGGTGATTCTACTTGCACCTAAATAATAATTCAGTACGTTCAATTAAAATTTTAATTCTTATTATATCTTAATTTAAATTTATTAATAAGGACAATATATATTAAATCTTAAAATAAAATATTATTTTTGTTCTCATGGTACACTCTAATCAAGTATTATTCATATTCAAATTTCGTTATCTTCTTTTCTAAGTTTCAATTATTTTCTTTTTATCTTGTTACTAACTCTAAAACTCTAATCCATCTCACAAAAACTCACCATCATTATCAACATCATTATTTCATATAAATAAATATTGGCCAAAAAAAACAAAGGGGGCCATTACCGTGTGTTGGCCTTTATAATTCGGGATTTTGGGAGAGCCGGAACTAGCTACATTTTGTTTACAGGAGAGTATTAGTTCAATCAATTTGTGTAATACTATGAAGTGATAGCACTTCTCTAATTTGGTGGTGAATCAATCCATCTCATTCTAGTTTCTCCAGTATTCTCTACATTGATGTTATGGTCACAAAAGATGCATATAACTCAGGGTGTTTGGTTTGAATTTTTTGGAATAAGTTTTTTGAAAATTGAGTTTTTTTGTTTTCATGTTTTTTTGTTTTTAGTGGATATTTTTTAATTTTTAAACATTTTTTTTACTTTTTTAGATACATCTTAGATGTATTTAAAAAGTAAAAAATTTGTGAAAAAATATTTTAAAAAATTAATAAATACATAAAAATACAAAAAAAAATGTATTGAATTCTCATTTTGTTTTTTTGTATTTTTGGTATTTAGTGAATTTTTAAAAGGTTTTTTCCGCAAATCTTTTACTTTTTAGGTATATTTCTATTAGGCATGTCTACAAAGTAAAAAAAAAAATTTGTTTAAAATATTAAAAATTTCAGTAAAAATAAAAAAATATGGAAAATCAAAAAGTAGAAGTGCTATCACTGGAAAACACGGAAAACACTTCATACTTTTCCATTTAACTCGCTTATGCACTGATTGGCATTAGGGGTGTAATTTTGGCCAGTGGCCCGTGGGTGGCCCGAAGCTCGCCCATGGCCCGAGGTGGGCCCGGCCCGTTTAGGCCCAAGCCCAACTCGAGGCCTTGGGCCAAGGCCTGGGCCATTGTTTTGAACTCCGACCCGGCCTATGGGCCCTGCCCGTGGCCTGACCCATCGGCCCACCTGAGGCCCAATGTTATTTTTAATGGAAAATAATAAAATTTTGGTAAAAAAAATTGTTTAGGCCTACTTAAGCCCGCCCAAAGCCCGAGCCTAGGGGCCCAGCCCCTTGGCCCACCCAAAGCCCGAATATCCCTGGGCTTGGGCCTGGGTCTAATTTTCTGGCCCGTGGGCCGGCCCGGCCCTATTTTTTGGCTGGAGCCCGCAAGGCCCGACATGGGTCTGGCCCGACCCGAGCCCGAATGGGCAGGGCCGGGCCAAAATTACACCCCTAATTGGCATGGATTGTAGTGATGCAAGTTCTGGATCTTACGGTTAACATGTTGGGATTCATCATTATTTATTAATTGGGTGTATCATAAATTATAATTTTATCTTAAAAGATAATTTATGAAAAAATATAAAGTGTATTGAGAATAAAGTATAACCCTAAATAATTTCATAACGTGTATTAATAAATTGGACGTACTAAATGATTTTTAGGATGCAAATAGAATCATCCCATTTGTTGAAAAGTCTTAAACAATAAATCTTGGCACCTAGGATTAGGGGTGGTCTTTCGCTGGGTTGGGCCAGGCCGAGTTCGGGTCGAGCCAGCACTACTTAATAAGGGATTTTGTATCTATCAAAGCTTGTACGGCCTGAACATCGAGCCTATACTATCAACCCAAGTCTAACCCTAAATAAATTATAATTTCTAAGTCTATCCTTCAAGCCATATACATGAGCCATCAAAAAAAAAATCATATTACCTAATATTTTTTCATAAATAGACAAAACCCTATAAATCAACTAACCATTACGGATTTAATATCATATTAATTAAAACATTAAAAAAAATTTTAAACCAAATGCATCCATATGTCCAAAAGTTCAAAAGTTTTTTAAACCAAACTATTAGTAATGCATCAAACTAAAAAAAAAAATTCCATAATTTAAACTTCAAATTTCTTCAAACATTTTTTTTTTTTTTTTGTGAATGTCTTGAGCAAAACAATGACCACTTGAACATCTTACAAATCACACTGCCAACAATAAAAGGTTATATATGTTCAATATATTATAGAAATTGATTAATTAATTAAATAAACTATGTAGCGGGTTGGGCCGGGCCAAAAATATAATTTTCAAACCCAATCCATTAATTAATCAGGCTGAAAATATCAACCCAGCCCAGCCCTGTGGGCTAAAATAATATTCCTAAGCCCTAAAAAAATAGAGTTAAGCTAGAGGGCCAACAGACTGATGCCCACCACTACCTAAGATGCCAACAAGTTAGGAGTAATTACGAGCCATTCTTATTAGTCAAACTTATTTATTTAGGATAAATTATAAATATACCTCTTGAGATTTGCTTAAAATACAAATTATCCCTTATGATTCTATAAATTACATCTCATCCCTCTAAAGTTTATAATTTCATAAAAATGACCCTTTTTATTAATGGAATTTTTGGTGAAATCCCCTTTTTTGGGCCCTTTTGTAAGGTAAAGGACAACTCAATGAATTTTCCTTCAAAAAGACCCTGAGTAGTGACGTGTTGCTCAATAAGGACATTCTATAATTTGTAATTTTTTTTGACCATATTGCCTTTCTGTATTTATATATATCATATATTTGAAAGTCTGAGCTCATGTATACACGGATCTCGTATATTTGAATCAGTGAGGAGGATTTGTGAAATTAGTGAAGATGATTTGCGAAATCCATAAAGACGATCTCAAAATCTGAAGATCTCGCCACCGACAATCTCGCCCTTGGTTAGCAATACACGATTTCGCTATCGACGATCAATACCGTCAATTAAACAAGAGATTACGTTTCAAATATGTACAAATCTATATCAAATTTAAAGAATTTCATCATGATTTGTGAGCGTTGATGGAGTTTTAGAGATTTTGCTTCAATCACGTGTTTGATGATTGTTTGAGATCAATCAGGTATGTTGATTTGTTGATTAGTTTGTTTTTTGATTTATTTTTATTGTGTATGATCTAATTTTGTTTGACAGAATGAGAGTAAACTTTTACTCTGGTATGTGCTTTGTTTTTGTTTGACAAATTAAGAGTAAAATTTTACTCTGGTATGTGATCTGATTTTGTTTGACAGAATGAGAGTAAAATTTTACTCTGCTATGTGCTCTGTTTTTGTTTGACAGAATGAAAGTAAAATTATACTCTGCTATGTGCTCTGATTTTGTTTGACAAAATGAAAGTAAAATTTTACTCTGGTATGTGTTCTGTTTTTGTTTGACAGAATGAGAGTAAAATTTTACTCTTATATGTGCTCTGGTTTTGTTTGATAAAATCAGAGTAAAATTTTACTCTGGTGTTATCTGTTCTCTCTTTTTTCTTTTTTCTTTTTTTTGATACAATGACAATAAAAGTTTACTTTGATTGACAGTAAATTTTACTGTCAATTGATTGCAGATTTGAAAAATGGTTCCACCTCTTATGTTGTTATGCAAGTATGGTGATCGTACCATTGTGTTCAAGGTTGTGTCAAACTGGACGTTGAAGGACTTAACTGATTTCTTATATTGTAATTTGAAGAAGTTTGACAGTAATGGTTACATACTGTTATCGTACTGTTTACTTGGACATTTACAACCAGAGGCGGAGGGAAGGAGGGCTCAGGGGGGTCATGTGTCCCCCCTGAGTTTTGGATATATATATATATTTTTACAAACATAAAAAAAATATTTTATATAAAAAAATTATAAAAATATTATTTACAGTGAAATGTCAATGATATTTTTAAAATTATAAGAACAATAATGATTGTTTTTATTGAAAATAAAGAGATTACGATATTATTATGTATGAAAATTTCAATATAATGGTGATCTCTATCATTATTGATATGCAAACATAATTAATTTCAATGAAAATATATAATTTATTGAATTGTTAGTTACATTTACTATGCAGGGTTCACCCTCCATGTGTTTCTTTATTATTGGTTGGTAATATCACATGTCAATGATTGCGTGGTATGACTATTATATTGAATTTTTAAGCATATTTTGTATAAAAAAATTACTTTATCATTATATAATTTATTTTAAAACTTTATATCCACAACTTTTTTTAATGTTGTCCATGATACACTAATTACAAATAACATATTCACTTTGTTTGGTTTGAGTTTTCTAAAAACACTTTTCAAAAAATTCTACTTTTTTGTTCTTCGTATTTTTTTGTTTTTATTGAATTTTTTTTAATATTTTAAGATTTTTTTTTTAATTTTTGGACACACCTAACATAAAAAGTATAATTTTTGTGAAAAAATCTTTAAAAAACTCACTAAATACCAAAAATATAAAAAAATACAAAAAATCAATACATTTTTCGTATTTTTATGTATTTATTAATTTTTTAAAATATTTTTTCACAAATATTTTATTTTTTTTAGATACATCATGTATCTAAAAAAGTAAAAACAAAATGTTTAAAATTTTAAAAATATTCACTAAAAACAAAAATAAAATAAAATAAAATAAAAAACTTAATTTTCAAAAAACTTAATTCAAAAAACTCAAACCAAACGCACTGATTTTTTTTTTAATCTTTCTTGAAGTCAATCATAAAGATTTATGTGAAATATTTTTGTAAATATTTTTAATGTTGTAATTAAGAAGTGCCCCATCTAATTTATTTTCTTGGCTCTGCCACTGTTTACAATGCATGCTTGATGATGATTTTGATTTTCAAAATATGTTGTTGGTTGTTTATCCCCTTGATGTTGATTGGGTTGAGGTGACTATTACTAAAATGGGCATTTCAAATGAAAAACATGGAGTTAGAGAATTGGGTGAGGCTAGTGGATCCAACGTTACTGATGATGAAATGGATTTACTCCCTATGTTTTGTGAACATGAAGAAAGGACTTTGTTGTCTTCTAGATGGGTGAATGGAATTACTCATGTAGGTCAAAGATTTGTTGGAGGTGCAAAGGATTTATAGACTGCATTATGTAAATATGCCATTGAGATAGGATTTGAGTTTGTGTACGTGAAAAATGAGAAGTGTCGAGTCACTGCTGTGTGTTCAATGCGGGAGTCCAAAGGTTGTTTATGGCGAGTACATGCATCTCTAAAGAGTGCTAATAATTTTTTCTACATTAGGACTCTACATGATGAGCATAGGTGTGGACCTGCAGTTCATACTTCTAAAAACTCAAGGATGAGTTCAAATTTGGTTGCAAGTTTGATTGTTAATGAAGTTCATGCGAATCCCCAAACTCGTTCAATTGATGTTGTGCATCAATTTACAGATAAATACGGGCTCACCATTACGCACAATCGTGCTTGGTTGGGAGTTGAGAAAGCTAGGACTACTACTTTTGGAGATTTCTCTATGTCTTATGATGAGATTCGATGGTATATGGATATTGTGATGAGCACAAATCGTGGTAGCTATTTGCAGCTTGACTATAACCATCAAAGTGGACAATTCAAGAGGATTTTTGTTGCATTTAATGCTTCCAGTCAAGGGTTTACGCATTGCCGTCCTTTATTGTTTATCGATGGTACTTTTCTAATACAAGGGCACCTTGTTAATAAGGATAGAGATCAAGGTATATATTACTGTCAATAGTTTATTGAAAAGTAACAAGTGACTTATTTTCAGAGTAACATGTTACTTTTATTCAAAGTAAAAATTTACTGTATTTGTCCTTTTTGTTTAATATACTTACTAATTGTAAAATGTTATTTTTTAGGTTTTTTCCCTCTTGCAATGGGAATTGTCGATACATAGACTATAAACAATTGGGAATGGTTTCTTATGCATTTGTCGAATATATTGTTGGATGAAAGACCAGTTACCTTCATATCTAATCGGAAAGCTGGACTTTTGAAGGCTTTACCCAAGGTTTTACCTACTGCTTACCACTGTTTTTGTCTCCATCACTTGAAAGCCAATTTGAGAGATAGGTTCTCCGGTCCAAGTTTCAGTAATACTTTCAAGAGTAGAATAGTTTTTTTGTTTTCTTCATGTGCTTATGCTCCGATAGTGGGATGTTTTAATCAGTGTTTGAAAGAATTACAAGATGAGGGAAAAGGGATCGTTTATAGGTTTTTATCCAATTTGCCCTATGACAAGTGGATTAATGCATATTTTAAAGGACAAAAATACGGTGGAATGCACTCGAATGTGGTGAAGTCTTTTAATTCATGAATCTGTCAAGCTCGTCATTTGCCCACTACGAAGATGATTGATTTAAGTAAATGGCCTACGGCCACCAAATGTAGCCTACGGACATTGAGAGATGGTCTACGGGACCTCTCCCTTCCCTCAGGAAAAGAAACAGAGAAAACCGAGTCTGGTTCGCAAACCAAGGCAAGGCACAGAAGAGGGTTCGGAAGTCCGGAGGCAGGGCTCACGGCCGCGACTCCGAAACTTCTGAACAAGCACATTATGCAACATCACCAAGCGCTCAATCAGTGATGTCTGAGTCTTAAGGTCGGTCAAAAATGGGGTGTCTACAGTTCTCCGGTGCAAGTTTTAGCAACACTTTCAGGAGTAGAATAGTTTTTTTGTTTTATTCATGTGCTTATGCTCTGACAGTGGGATGTTTTAATTAGTGTTTGAATGAATTACAATATAAGGGAAAAGGGATTGTTTGTAGGTTTCTATCCAATTTGCCCTATGACCAGTGGACTAATGCATATTTTAAAGGATAAAAATATGGTGAAATGCACTTGAACGTAGCGGAGTCTTTCAATTCATGGATCTGTCAAGCTCGGCATTTGCCCACGACGAAGATGATTGATTCAATTAGGTTGAAGATCATGGATTTGATGTCAAGAAGGAGAGAACAAGCAAAGAAATGGAATACTTTTCTTTGTCCGGAAATGGATTCAACATTAGTAAATGCTCTTAAAAGTGGAAGAACTTGGTTGGTTAGTCATTCAAGTGATCATGTTTTTGAGGTTCAATCCCGGCCATCGGTTAGCATTGACCTCTTGAATAGAACTTACTCATGCTACCAATGGCAATTGAATGGATTTCTTTGTGCTCACGCGACGACCGCTATCTAAAAGAGTAGAGGTGATTTGTATGCACATGTGGAAGCATTTTATTACACTAGCAATTTCAAAGCTTGCTATGCTAAGTCCATTTATCCAATACCCACTGTTGAAGAAACCTAAGAAATGGAATACTTTTCTTTGTCCGGAGATGGATTCAACATTAGTAAATGCTCTTAAAAGTGGAAGAACTTGGTTGGTTAGTCATTCAAGTGATCATGTTTTTGAGGTTCAACCCCGGCCATCAGTTACTATTGACCTCTTGAATAGAACTTGCTCGTGTTACTAATGGCAATTGAATGGCTTTATTTGTGCTCACGCGGCAACTGATATCCAAAAGAGCAGATGTGGTTTGTATGCACATGTGGAACCATTTTATTACACTAGCAATTTCAAAGCTTGCTATGCTGAGTCCATTTATCCAATACCCACTGTTGAAGAAACCTCTTGTAGCTATCGATGATCTTGTTATTCTTCCTTCAATTTGTAAGAAGCCATCTGATAGGCCAAGGAATAATAGGATTCCATCTAAGGGTGAGAAGATAAGACAAGTACAGTGTGGTAAATGCGAGAAGTATGGTCATAATAGGAAGACTTGTAAAGAGACATTGCTATGAAAGACATTATTGCTTTGTAATAAAAATATGAAAATAATTCAACTCTTCTGCAATAAATAGTCCATAGCAATAATAGTCTAGTCTTTTAGACTAGACTTGTAAGGAGACATTACAATAAAAGATATTTTTACTATGTTCTTAAATGGTTGTCTATCCAAGTTTTTGATTTGCTTTGTGGTTGAATTCAACATTTTAAAATATTTTTTTAATATGGTTGAATAAGGTTCATGTAAAGGAACTTACAATGGAGTTTGTTCAATAGGTGTGGAAGATTGAAGTAAAATTCTAGTCTAAAAGGAAGTAAATAAGAAATTAAAACTTTACTGCCTTTTAGAGTAAGATATTACTATCTTTTAGAGACATGTAGTTTGAAATGAAAGTAAAATTTTACTATATTGTTGAATGGTTGTTTATGGCTGTGCTCAGCCTGTGCTTCCAGAGTAAAATTTTGCTGTATTTCAGAATAAATTTTTACTTTATTGTAGAGTAAAATTTTACTTTTTTCAGAGTAAAACATTACCTTTATTCATATGAAAGTAAAACTTTACTACCTTTAGGAGTAAAATTTTACTAACTTTTAGAGAAATTTACTCTGAAATGAAAGTGAAATTTTACTATGTTGTTGAATGGTTGTCTATGGTTGTGCTGAGCCTGTGGTTTCAGAGTAAAATTTTACTTTATTTTAGAGTAAAACTTTACTTTCAGACAGTATGTGTGTCCCATTGAAAAATATTTCCAACTTGCACCAAAATTTACCACAATACACAAACTCCCCTAATGCTCATCATGCAATCTTTATACAAAAATAATCTAACAACATAACTACATATATTCTCAAGACACACAAGTATAATCTGTATCATTGTATTCTATCCATAACAATGTTCATTTCTAGTCAAAATAATATCCTGCTATAAAATGTATTAATCACCAAACCACAGTAAAATTTACTAGAGCAATAGACATAGCATGTACTATCTATTACTTTTTTAGCATTCTTTCATTTACAATTACTTTTTCAGCATTCTTTCATTTACAAAAAGCAAAATTACATATATCATTCACAGATACAAAAAAGTAGTTCCCAAAAGTTATCTACATCATCGTCCTCAAGGTCTTATCTCTTGGATATTTTTCTTTTGAGATTGAATTGTTCCTCACTTTATGCTTTTGGATAATCATTCAAAAATTGATACACTATTGATACTTGAAAATTGTTAATTCATAATTTTCATAGAATTTGCAATAGGCTCATCTCTTATGATTTGGCGCATGATATAACAGACAATAATTCCACAATCAACATTGTTAATAAAAATCAAGATCTTGTTAAATTTACTCAAATTTGGAAACTACCAATTCAAGCATGCAGTAGTAGCGTGAAATACTTACGATGTTGGGCGTTGTTGTGGACTATCTTTTACCAAAACTAAGTTTGCAAACTTTCTTGTACCTTTCTTCCTTTTATTGCCTAGTTTGTTCTCCACATATGTTATCTAACATCATTGCATAATTGTTTGGTCATAATTAAATACAAGAATAAAACATAGTAAAAATTTACTGTTAATATGATGCAAAGCACTTACAATCTGTTTTGCATCATTAAGGTAAGGATCTTCTTTGTTGTCTCTTGGCCTTAAAATTGTAATGCTTCCACTTTTCAAATTTAGTGTCCAATACAAGCAGCATCCAGTGATATGGTTTTTCTTCCTTCTTGTTCCCATTGGAGTTCATGCAAAAGTGAAGGAAACTGTATCCACTCAAATCTTGCTCAAGCACTTCATCAATTAAATTATTTCTCAAATCTCCATAACCCTATTTCACTAGGGACTGCATTTAATCATATAAGAAGGTCATGTGCCAAGTTGTGTTGTTAACACACTATATGAGTTTTCAATCTTTGGCAAACCAAATAGTAAAAATTAACTCTAAAATACAATACAATGTTACACTAAACCACAGTAAAAGTTTATTAATTCAAACTAAACACAAATTGATGGCTTATCCAATAAAGGCTTGAAAAAAAGAATGACTTATTCTTTTCTGGCTTCTTTGCTTGTTATTCAATCTGAAGCATTTCTACAAATCTGTTAATGACCTACAAAAACAAAAATAAATTAAATATATGTTAATAAAATGAACTATTTTTAGTTATTAAAGTGAACACTAGTTATTGAAAATTGTATGGCCACTTACATTATTTGAGATATCAACATCTCTCAGAATTACATCCACATCATGCAATGTAACATATACTCCATTTCCAGTGCTGGACTATATGATTGCACTAGTCATAAGGTTAAAAAAATGTTGATTAACACGTAGTTTGATAATAGTAAAAATCTATTGTTTGATAAAATTAAAATGGTCTTACTCTGTGGTTTCCAAATTGTAAATCTTGCTCAGTAGACGCTTATCATTCTCATCAAGCAATTTGCATATTGCAACCTTATCTGGATACAAAACCCGTTCAACTGGTTTTGGTTGGCTTAGAGGCAAGTTGTCAACACAAATCACTTCTTTTGATATCACTTCAATTGGTTATTTTGTGGTCTTTTTTTTTCTCTACCTCTCTTGTTTCACATTCAAACTCAGACATCTCCTTTTTCTTTCTCACCTTCATTTTGATTTTCTTGACCATGGATGTTTGTAATGACTCTATGACTACAGGTGTTTCTTTCAATGTAGCTTGAATCCCAATGTTTTGCTCTTGTTGTACTCCTTTAGTATGTGGCATTTCTTTAGAAGCAAAAGCTTGGGTAGCCGCATGACTTGCATTTACTTCAATCTATCCAACCAACTCTTTATTTTCATATTTGAGTACTTCAAACTCCTTTCTTAGTTTCTCCATTTCTTTCTCTGTGTTGCTCATCTTTTCTATCATTTCTTTTGTTTTCGCCTCTTGATCCTCTTGTATTTTTTGCATTGTTTCCCTCATTTTCTTTAGTTCTTCAACCAACGTCATATTCTCACTTTTTAGCCTCTTGTTTTATTTTTGAACTTGTTCTAATCTCCCAAGGTCAATGAAGTCCTTCAAAGGTTGATTATCTCCTATAGCTTCAGCTACATGATCTTCATCTTCTTCAGTCTCTAAATTTTCCTCTATGTCCAT